GCCCCATTGTGACAATTGGGTTGCTCGGAAGCAGTATACCACTCCAGAGTGGTCTACCTTCCCGTGCTTTTTACTGAGGTCTGACAGTCTCTGTGGATATATGAATTCATCCTCCCCTGCCTGTTCTCACTGTCTCTTTTTCATGTGCACTCTAGAGAGGGGGTTAGAGATGTTGTAAGCAGACAGCAAACTGAGGTGAAGAGCTAAAGACAGATGTGCCTCACCCGTCATTTCTGTCAGGGAAAAGAGGATAGGAAAATTCATCCTGCAGTGAATGGAGCAATTCACACCTCTCAGATCTGTTGTTTCAAGCTATATTTATGTCTCAAGCCATATTCATCTTCATCTTGTATTCTCACTCAGCTCAGGACATCTGACTGTGATGAATAGGTCATTTCACACCTTTCTGAAAAGTCTCATGTTTAAAGGTCAGTTTCTTCTAAGTGCTATATAATCCCCATGCTTATCTAACTGCCTTGAAATCTGGCACGGTTACTGCAGGTGGCGAGTAGAATTATTGATCTAAATTAGAGGTCATTTGAGTCAAGAATTCCCAAGATACCTCCTGTTTTAAAAAAACAGCATTCCTTACATTGACCGATTGTACCAATGTTTCCTTAGTGCACACATCTAGAGTAAACCTGTGGCCAAAGAGTCTCAAATGCTTAACATTTACCCTAGCAAATGAAAGGCATCAGCTGTCTCCTTGGTATTCAGAATTCCGATGTTTTTTAAAATTTCAGCTCCGCACATGCAGTGAATTAAACACTTCAAGGAGTTCCTGACCCTTGGAGTAGGTCTGAACATCTCCTTCTACTCCTAAATAAAACGTGGGAAAACCTTTTCCTTAAGAGGAGGAGGTTAATAATCCTTCTTCCTGCACTTAGTAAGTGCTCAGAAGTTAGACAGGAATTGCAGTTAGTCCGTTTTGAAAATTAAGAAAAATAGGAAAAGAAAAAGTAGTCACACCTCTGGAAATAGTTCAAAAGAGGTAGGAGAAAGGGGACAGGTTAAACTATATGTTTCCTCTCATGTGCATGTCACCATGATTATCATAGAATGGTTTGGATTGGAAGGGACCTTAAAGATCATCTAGTTCCAACCTCCCTGCTGGGGGCAGGGACACCTTCCACTAGCCCAGGTTGCTCAAAGCCCCGTCCAACCTGGCCTTGAACCCTGCCAGGGAGGGCAGGGGGCACCCACAACTTCTCTGGGCAACCTGTTCCAGTGTCTCACCACCCACACAGGAAAGAATTTCTTCCTTATATCTAATCCAAATCTACCCTCTTTCAGTTTAAAAATGCTATGCCTCATCCTATCCTTACACTCTCAGGCACGGAGTCCCTCCCCACCTTTCCCGTAGCCCCTTTAAGTACTGGGAGGCTGCTCTAAGGTCTCCCTGGAGCCTTCTCTTCTCCAGGCTGAACACCCCCAACTCTCTCAGCCTGTCCTCAAAGGGGAGGTGCTCCAGCCCCCACCATCATCTTCGTGGCCTCCTCTGGACTCAGTTGAGTAGGTCCGTGTTCTTCTGATGCTGGGAGCCCCAAAGCTGGACACAGCACTGCGAGGGGCTCTCACAAGAGTGGAGTAGAGGGGGAGATTCCCCTCCCTCCACCTGCTGGCCACGCTGCTCTGGATGCAGCCCAGGACACGGTTGGCTTTCTGGGCTGTGAGCGTACAGTGCTGGCTCATACCAAGTTTTCCATCCACCAATACCTGCAAGTCCTTCTCCACAGGGCTGCTTTCTACCCACTCCTTGCCCAGCCTGTATTTGTGCTTGGGATTGCCCTGACCCATGTGCAGGACCTTGCACTTGGCCTTGTTGAACTCCATAAAGTTTGCACGGTCCCACCTCTCCAGCCTGTCCAGGTCCCTCTGGATGGCACAGCCCTTCCCTCCAGCGTGTCGACCGCACCACACAGCTTGGTGTCATTGGAGAACTTGCTGAGGGTGCGCTCAGTCCTACTGTCTATGTCACCAAAATAGATGTTAAACAGCGCTAGTCCCAGCACAGACCCTGAGGAACGGCACTTGTCACGGCTTCCCACTCAGAGTGTGACCATCCAGCCAACTCCTTATCCCCCAAGTAGTCCATCCATCAAATCCATTTCTCTTCAATTTTGAAACAAAAACATCATGCAGGACAGTGCAAAATGCTTTGCACAAGTCCAGGTTGATTACTGTTGAGATGCTGAGACACAGACCATATCCGTGAATCTTTTCATTGGTGTTATCAGCAGCAGCACTCTCAAAGGATTCCACTGTAGGACCATAATCCCCATTTATGTTTCCAAGCACATACAGAAAAGAAGGAACATTTAGGAATCACCAGATTCCTATAAATAGATGCTTTTTACCTGCTTTTTACTGCTCAGTCTGGCACACCAAACAAGTTTGCTGACTTTTTGCATTGCAACATTTGCAATAGGGGCTTTAAGCAACCTGGGCTAGTGGAAGGTGTCCCTGCCCATGGCAGAGGGTTGGAACTAGATGATCTTTAAGGTCCCTTCCAACCCAAACTATTCTATGAACATCACTGGAAAGAAGTTGCTTTGCTTCAAGTTGTATGCAACCTGCTTAGCACAGCATCAAAATGAGGCATGGATGAACGTCCTGCCTAAATCCTTAAAGGACTTTCACGTTCCTTTTTGCTTTCCACCACAAAAAGAAAGGGCTGATCTCAACAAAAGTGACTGTAGTAGAATCCATGTCAAGAAAATCACAACTCTCCTAAGATACTCCAGCTCATGTCTCCACAATTTCTTTGTGAGGTGGAGAGCAGTGTACATATAGTGAGTAAATGGGAGGGTCTGCAGGTGTTTCTTTCCAACTAATGCACCTTAGGTTTATATTTTCCATGTGCTGGAAGCTGCGATACTATCAAGCAATCAGTGATTTAATTAAGGTATTTTTCAGTGAAATTCTGCCATTACTATTTTGTCATTTCCCTTCATTTCTCAAGGGTTGACATTTTTCAGCACTGAGAAACTATTCATTTAATTCTCTAAGTAACTTCAAAACTGAACCACATATAATTTTACAAACAACTGTGCATTAGTGAATAAAAGCAAAGTTACCATGGAATGTGTATGGAAACATATTTGACCTCCATTAGAATGCCAAAGGTGTTTGCAATAGTCAGTGTTTTAAAACTGAATGCCAGATGAATTCACAATAATATGACATAACAGAATACTATTGGAAACGTCTGCCCCAAAAGCGTGTATACAGTCACATACTTGCATATAAATTACGCAGAAATTCAGCTTAAATGATGCTAATAAAACAGAACATAAACTCTGACAAAAAAAGACATAAAGCAGTAATTGAAAGGGCAATGAGGTAATCTGATGAACTAATAGCTACAGATATAAAACTAAATTAAGATTCTGGCGATTCATTCAAAGACCAACTGTTCCTTGAATTTTATCTTCTTATTTAGATACTGCCCATAAAAAAAAAAAAAAAAAAAAAAAAAAAAAAAAAAAAAAAAAAAAAAAAAAACAAAAAACCTGCGTTCAAAATTAACCACGAGCAACAAGCCATTAAGTAATTGATCTGTGGATGGCAAAGCAGCACTCTCATAAGGTACCAGAGAACATCAGGTAAATGCCATATTAAATGAAATGAAGCCCGAGTAATAAGTCAACATGAAACAACTTTGAAATTAAGATTAAGCGTCAAGACTGTAAGAGCAGGTCAGAAGATAATTATTCCCTTTCAAAGGCTTAAAACTTATAGGAAAACTGGGTTTATCTGTGCTATCACAGTACATTTGTTATAGGAAGGCAAGTAAAGATGAGTTCCAACAGATCATCATGAACAGTTGTAACATAATTATTTGCAAATGGAAAGTCACCTGGTACTTCAGTATTTCATGGGGGGCAGGACACCTGAAAATGGACACGTAAGACAGAGAAAAGAGTGCAAGTGGAAAAAACACTCTCTCTACAGTCTTTAATACAAAGTGATTCTGGTTCTCAATATCCAAAAAATATGTGGGGTTGAGAGGAGGGGGAGGGAGGTGCTACTGAAATTCCTTCCTCAAATGAAATGAAAAGAGGAGGCATCTGACAATGCTCCTATTAAAAACAAACAAACAAACAAACAAAAAACAACCAAAACCACACCAAAAAATTGACTGACTGATAATTGTTACACATTTGTTGACGGAGTGTCATACAGGCCAAGTATCAAAAGGATAGTGTGACTTTTCCTGAGTCCTTGACAACAGTAGATATACTGCCTCTTCTGCTCATCTCCCAGAGTACAAGGTGTTGCTGAAGCCACCTTTGGGTAGCTTGACATAGATTAGTTCTTTTTTTATGTTGTATCAATTTATCCTCTCCAGTAAATGGAAGAGCATTCCACAGAAATAATGCCTTCTCAAGCAGAATAAGGAAGATAACTAAGCTATTTTAATCTCACAAATAAAGGGCTCCTCAGTTTCCTCTTAAATAATTTTTAATTAATGTATTTAATAGGATGATTCCCATGTAGAATACTAAGCACATAATCTTTTGATTTCAGAAGGACTGACCCAGGAAGAATTTGGGGCACAGAGCACCACAATACGGAACCAGCAGTTGTGGAGTAGCATCAAGAGGAAATCCCTTGGATACAGCAACTTTCAGTGAAAACTGTAAAATCCCAGTCACAGCAAAAGCAAACAGTGCTCCAAGCATTTTATTTCCAGGAGTTACATTCATCCGGGAAAGCAGAAAGCACTGGTTGTGTCAGTGAAATTCTAGTTAATGGTTAAAAATAAGTTAAAATGGTTTCTGAAAACTGAAATCTGTGGTCTGGCTTCTTGCTAATTCACGCTATAGTCTGTGTGCAAAAGTCAGTATTTTTAACATGTTAAGTGTTCTCAATACATTTTTTTTTAAATAAAGAATCTCAAAAGAGTAAAGTAAAATTTTCACATGATGAGAGCTTCTTATACATGACTATTCGCATTAACAGAATAAATGTAATTTCTTCCCTTTTAATTAACTTACCGTTTTGACAATATGTCAATAAGTTCTTTTCTGTTCTGGACTCTGAGTGTATTAGTTTTGTATCTGGAATCCTTACTAACTTCAGGCAAATTCAGGATCTAAGTAAAAATAAAGGTGAGTAAGAAATGTGCTTGACAGGAGATACTTAAATAGCTAAGGAAACTCATTACCTATTTAAGACAGTTTTCAAAAAATCCCTATTTCTCGTTAATCTTTTAATACAGATTAGGAAATTAAGAAAAAAATAATTCCTCCTGGTTAATGCTACATAACAAGTACAGAAAAAGACATAAATTAAACTGAAGATCCAAATCTTTGTTGATAGATTTCACCATTAGCTAGCAGAAGTTCTTATTGTAGAACACTAAAAGGTTTGTAAATTATTACTGAGGTTGGGGAGATTTGTGGGATTATCCTGCACTAAGTTATATGTCAAAGAATAAGATATATGACTGTACTTCATATGCTAGACTGAAAAAAGCTATGTCTAAGAATATTTCTTTCCACTTCAGTCATTTCTGTCAAAAAGGGAAAAAAAAAAAAAAAAAGTGTTTTTCTACTGAAATGTCAGACTTTTTCTTTATGATTTTTTCCAAAAGAATTAATACAGAAAATTGGTGGTATAACCTCTAAGAAAGGAGAAATAGATCTTCTACATGTAACTCCCACCTGGCACATTAGAAATTTAACCCTCATGCAAAGACAATGTGAGTTATACTAGCATATAAAGGGAATTAAATGTGAAGAATGAGTCTTAGAATTTTGTAGAAGCATTTATCAGACAGCGTAGCTGTTTGGACAATCAATACTTACTATATAATTTATCTATTCATGCCACAAGGTATTTATATAGAGCATAAATAAGCAGAATGAGTTGTGCTTTCCAAAGTTAATAAAAAATATCCCAATAACATCAGCTACAGAGCTGATAACAATAACAGAGCTACAGATAATAAGATTACAAAGAAAGAGAGGGTCACATATTCTTCGTATATTTTTACTCACTAACACACATTCAAGATCACTTTTTCTTATGATGAGTCTTATAATCATTCTAAACACGCTGCATTTTTTACAGGGCCATTTCCAAGAAGGCTTACAAAAATCCAGTACTGGCTCAAAGCTGAAGTCCCTATAGCCCATCATCCTATCTCTGCCTGTGGCTGAGTGCTGATGCTTAGGAAAAGCTTAACAGGGCCAGTACATGTGATACTTCCTTAACATTTATCCAAATAAATCTTTAGATTAGGGCATTTCTGAGTTGGAGCTGTCTTCTATGTATTGGCAAATCCTCAACGGCTTTTTGTTTTATTAACATGTTCAGTCGCTCCTTGAATCCATATACCTATGTATTGCCACGTACAACGGATACATAGATTGGTGTCGATCTCTCTGATATTTGCCTCAAACCTAAAATTTAACTAATTCCTCCAGATTGGTTCAGACCAAGGCCACTATCATTGAATGTCTCCTCACTTTGCTGGAATGAATAAGGATATGGCTTCTCTTCCAAGTGAATAGCTGCTGATGACATAAAACCATCATCAAAACAGATATATACTTTCAACAGATATTTAGAAATATTCAAACCAGATAGTCACCTTTGACGTAATTGTCACTTGCAGCAAAAAAAAAACTAAGCATGGAAAGCAAGGCATCAGTAAGTTATGTTAGAACAATATCCATAGTACGTAACTTCTGCAGATTTTTATCTGCAAGGTGACATAAAGCATGAACCTAGCATCTTCCATCAACACTTAATGTGCAACATATTTTCTTTTTCTTCTAGGTTTACACAATCTAGTTTATGAAAATCACAACACATCATAATTTAGCTTTAGAAAACGTTCTTCTTTTCCTATATGAAAGTTTAACAATAACATCGGTATCCCCTTAAAATTATCCCCTCTTTTTAATACTGCTGTTTTTGAGTTACAAGTCAGTGCTTTAGAGAAAAAAAAAATCATGCAAGGTTGTTCAAAGTAAATGATATTGAATACTTATTTATGAGAGTTTAAAAAAAAAAACAAAATAAAACAGGAAATTAATCAGAAAACTATGGTTCCATTTGATGAGTTACATGAAAAATGATCATATGGAGTTGCTCACTCCACTGTTTTAATTAACGTTACTGACTTCAGCTTTAACTTAATGTCCATCTGTTGTAAAGCTGCGTGTCTATATATGTTCTTCTCAATTTTTTTGTGACTAACAAATGCACATTTGAGAAGTTATTCATTAATGTGCCATTCATCTTTCTGCATCACGCTGCCAATGTTATTTTCTATATTTCACTGTGACCACTTGGAATGAAACTGCTCTTCTCTGCTTCTAGGCCTCCTTCAAGCTCTAAGATGCACATCCAGAGTTTATGCTGAGTTTTGTTCCCCGACAGTAGCAAACCTCTTTGTACTCTCCTTTGCTGTATGCAAAAGCTCAATCTTCTGAAGATTCTTGCTCAGTATTCCTATTTAGACCGAGGCAGCCACACATCAGGATGTGCTTTTGTAACACTTGACCACTGTGAAATGCACTTCAGCCAGCAGTGTTACAGTTTTTCTGCAATTATCCAAGTCCCCAAACAAGCTAGAGTTCGTTCTCACTGATTTTGAAAATATCACAGTGAATTATTCTAGTTTTTTTTCTTTCTGCTTGCCTGAAAAGACATGGTTGAAGCAGAATGTTTGCAATTGTTTACAGCTTGAGCCAGCTGTTACATCTCTAGAGGATGTGTCTTTGGGGCAACAGCTTCCACGCAGCCTGCATTTTTAGCACCAGCTCATCTCAGAAAGGTTCTCTAATAGCAATTCCAATGTTTGAATTAGTGGTCTCTGTATTTACTAAAGGTTCACTAGGGTGTTGCGGGCCTTCCTGTAATAAAGTCCTCTTCCTTTATTGGCTCTCCCCCTTCATGGTGTTTTAAGTTCCAAATCACCTTCGACTTAGCACAGAGCATAGCTCTAATGGGTTTCACAGCATTCCACTGACTTCCACAGCGCTCCATTTCTGGGCAATATAACAGTCCAAATCCATATCTACAATAACTCGATAAGGGTAAAAAGACCATTGTTTTTAAAAACAAATATAACTGGTTTATAGAAAAAAAATCTAACCATTACCCAAAACTTGAACTATTTTTTCTGGGTTTTTAATTCTTTTGAAATGCAAGCAATCACCACTTTTCTATGTTCTGTAACTCCTGCTTTCAATTCTAGAAATACCAGAACACTTTTACAAGGATAAAACAAAAATCTACCAGCCTGCAGACTAGGGCCAATATTAATCACACTGAATTTTAGTCCTACAGACTCTGAGGTAACACAAGCTGTAGAAACATTGCCTCATCTTCTGGGGTACCATTCACTCCTTAGTGATTTCAGAGGGAGTATGTAGCAACAAGTCACACCATAAGTCTCTCAGCTGCACCCTAAAGTAAGGTGGATGCATGGTCTGAATTTTTAAGTGCCTTCTAGCTCATACCATGGTGTCAGAACCTACTGAGACAGATCTGCTCTGCCTTACTCAAGGATGCCAGGATGACCAGCGTCTCGTACGTAATTCTTTACTTCAGGTGATAAAGCTGGGACTTTCTGGAAATATTTCCTTTATGAGACAATGAGTCTTTGATAAAAGTGAGTTGTGGCACATAGACACTTATTCAGTCATTGGTTTTCATTCACATTAAGAATGTCCACACTTTAGTGGTTGGACACCTGTATGAAGAAAAGCCACTGAGCAAACTTTGAAGACATTAACTTGTTACTTAGAGAGAGCCAGTTCAAGCGAGTGAAACCAGACCCCTTCAGATAGTATGGTGGAGGTACATAACCCAAACTGCAAAAGAGAGAATCGCAACAGCACTGTCTTCTTACTACATATTCCAGTTACTAGTTGTGAATACCCATGGAAACATGAACTGTCTGACATGAACAAATGAAGGAAAATAATGCTCAATTTCCTGAGTGTTAAATATCCAAATTCCCAGAGAAAAACCACAATGGCAGGAAAAAGGTAGAACTCTCATTTTTAAAAATGCTGTCTAATGATATATTCAAAACTTCTTTTGTCCCAGATTACATATTATTGGGGTCTTTTGTTTGGAATGTTGCTACGCTTTATTTAGCACATTTTTTTTCCCTACAACCACTCCTTCTCTTTTAAAATGTATTCACAGTCCGGAGAAAAGCAATTCCAGGCATTAAATCAACAGGAAGAGTATGTAAAAGATCCAAAACTATTTTACAACTTTCCAAGCTACCCTCTGTGAAAACAGAATTGCCAGCGTCATCTTCCTTCAGTTCAAAATCATGAAAATACCAGATTTTGATCGCAACAGTCCTGTTTGAAGATTTGTTCTTCAATGTCATGTCTTTGCACCACACCAAAGTCAGCCCACAGTCCTGTAATATTTGTCTTCCAAGAAGTCCACAAGTTTCTCTGTGAGCACAGACCAGCACATACTACTACACACAGTAGGCTATGGATTAAAGCGGCACAAGAACCATCCGTCGCTTAGCTCTGCTTTGTTAATAGCTGTGCCTACCATGTATTTCATGGAAAAACAGTGTCACATTGCTTCCTGAAAAAGGCATCAGTGTGACTTCTATGACATTCACCATTCCAAAATTGTTAGCTTGTTCATTTTTTAGCTAATTATCTGTGCAGCTGCACAGACTTCAAAAGGGGTTCAGCACCCACCAGTTTGGGAATGGGGATGTTCTGAATGCAGGGGCAAAGCATGGAACACATATCAGCCCCCTAAACCACCAGCCAGAACCGCAGGGTTAGAATTCATACTTGCTACTTATTTTCACAAAAAAAGGGGGAATTAAGAAGCAATCAGTAATTATTTTCCTAGTCAGAATGGAAACTATTACACATTTCTGTACTGTTGCCTAACACACCATTACCTTGCACACAGTGACAAACTGCTGATCATTTCCAGCTCCCACCACGATGTAGCCATCCTTGGTCTTAAAAGCCTGGAAGAACAAAGAGAGGTGATAAGCTGTAACTAAACTATACAATATTGGCATATCTTTTAAGTGAAAAACTTTGTAAATAATGTTCAAATGACTTCCTTAATTATTTCCATTCAGATCTAACCTCTGGTTCTCAAAAAGTGGCTCAAAGTCATCCATTAAAGATGGACGCAGGCCTTTTGATTTTTCCAAAGTTCTAGAGTTTTTCTAGAGTTAAGAAGTTATCTTGGTTAATAGTTTATTTGCGGAAAATGTGTCTTGAGGCATCCTGAAACTTTGCAGATGTGTCCCACACTCACAAGGCCTGAGAAGGATTTACCAGGATAACACTTACTTGCCAGGAGTTATTTATTCAGCTTCACTCTTAGCCTGACAGAGCAGACAGCTGCACTGAGGTGTCACAGACCCTGACCAAATATGCAAAATAAATAATTGCCAAATAGCAATGACAAGTTAGGGACTCTCATGGGGATTAAAGGGATAAACTGCATCTTTCCAGCTCTTCAGCTGGAGATTAAGCTACCTCCTTGGTCAGTGGTCTCAAGATCGAGCTCCTGGAGAAATGGGACTTCTTTTCTGGCTTTGAGGATTTCTTTTTTTCTTTTGGCTTCATTACAGTGGCCTTACTGGCACATGGTGAACAGAACTTACATGTTTATGGTGAACAGAACATTTAACTGGGTAGGATGTAACAGCTTTCATTTCAGTCTAAATCATCTCCACTCTGATTTTCACTGGATAAAAGAAAATCTGTCATTGGCATCACCTGCTATTTTTACCATCATGTCAGGGCATCTTCTAACACTGGATAATGCAGACAGATTCTCCTTTCCTCCACACCTCTCCCTTATATAAGGGTGTTTAACTGCAGTTGCAATCATATGTGTTACCACCGCAGTTTTTGCAAGCATTTGAGAAAAATTCTTTCCGTATGAATTTGCCTTCAGTGCAAGAGGCCAGCACAGGTGAGTGCTCTAACAGTGACAAGACCTTGTGCTACTGTCTTGTAGAGAGCAAACTCCATCTTCCATTCTCAGAAATCAATTTTTTTATAAGCTATCACATGTCCTGCTCTAAAGGTATGAATTCTTATTATAAATTTTGGTAAAATAACACACATATATAAGCCCTGGTATGGGAACGCTTTAATAATAAAAAGTCTCCTCATGTCACTGTGGCTTATTCTTCTTCTTCACAAAGAGGAATATGCCATTCCAACTTGCAGTCTTTCATACAGCTACAACTACATCCACACTAAGAGTCTTTTACCATCTGGTATAGTCAAAGATTTAAAATTATATGTGGAAAATTATGTCCACTGGAAAATTATGTCCACTGAAATACAAGTAGCTGCACATCATAGTTAGGATATCACTTGTTTGCTCTCACTATGTTTAATTTCCTGGTAAATAGCATTGGTCAGTGATAAAGTTTACAAATGTATTTTTCACACATTTAATTAAGCACTTCAGTCTAAGTTTCTTAGCAAGAAAAGATGAAATTCAGCAAACGTTTAGTCCCAAGCATGCAAAAAAGTCCCACTGACTTGACCCCAATACAGTAAAAGTCTAGAAGCATGCATAATGCCAAGGTACTGCATACTCACGCTGAGGAAAGCAATGAGCACAGAAAAAAATGGGGAAAAGAATTCCGAAAAGAAAGTTGTAGATGAATGCATAAACATTTTTTAGATATATCTCCTCATGCAGATATCTGTCTAAAACATAGAGCCTGGTCTAAGAATATGTAAGACGCTTCCCCACTCCCCCCAAATAAATGGCTTTTAAGTAGTAATAGTTATGAACTAAAGTAGTAATCGTTATGAACTAAAACTGTCAGTATAAACTTACTAACTTTAGTTACAAACAAGATCTGTTTTCTGAACATCCTGCCCAAATCCTGACCTGTCTTTGTTGATGCTCCGAATTCTAAAATCAACCACACACATTTCAGACAAATTATGGGTTAAATGCTACACATATCTGTGTGCATATGTAACACAATATAGTTTTTATTGGTACGACCACCTACTACTTCCAGTAAACACAAATTAGAAATTCTTTTACGCATTCTATTAAACTTTTTGTCTGTAGTGCAAAGCCTACAATCTATGTCATATGTACTTATATACAGATCCCCTTCCTCTGCACCCCAAAATATATTTAAATTGGTAGTATGGGCAAATCTTACAGAGTTTACTATTTTTCAGCAACTTCTGTTGAGACTTGCATCTCTGTAAGAAGACTGCAATCACCCAATAGCTGCACACCACTATGAAACACGCATCTGTACCCGTGGGCTGCCCATGCAAGCATGGAAGTCACTCTAAATTTAAGAGCCTGGCTATTAGCATGTGTGCTTCAGTTGCTTTGAGGAATGTGTGGGAAAACTGATTATTCTTAATTGCATTCTATGTCTAAAAAGCTAAAACAACAATCATGTCATCCTTACACAACAAAAACGGTATCACAATAAATGCAGCAGTGTCTTTTTCCATGAAGCTTAACTCAAATGTCTTCGGCTGCTATTTTAAGCTTCCCATTACAAACCAGCTGATTATTTGCCAGTCATTGCTGCTGATAAAGCAGAAACTTCCAAATGTTATTAGCACAATATTGATGCCAAGATTTAAGGGTGATAACAATGGTTTTATTCATCACTCATAAATGTACGCACACTACAGGTTACCACAGGTTACTGTCTGGTCACAGAAAGCTTCACAATCTTATTATACAAAGGACAGTAAGGGCAAAGTGCAGACAGATTTTAATGAGATTTTGTTTTGATAAACTGCTGTCCATCACATCCAATTATTTCACATTAGCACAATAAAAGGGACTACACACACAAGGCAAAAGTCTTTTTTCCCTTCCGCTTTTTCTGAAGAATGAGGCTTTCTGATAAGATTCCTGAGAGCATGAGCATGATTTAACCTGCTCCTCCCATATGGTATCCTGAGCAACAGGACGTCACTTGGTGAAGACAAGAAACAAAAAACAGGCAAAAAAAATTAGTCCGCATTTTATTCATGGAAAAGACAGAGCATCCAAAGGTGTAGCTTTTCAGTATGGTGTAAAAAGCTTGGGGTTTTTTAAGAAGATAATCTGTAAATCCACACTGAACAATACATAGTACGTGACTTCAATATATGCATGTTCAAAGCCAGATCTCAAGGTCCAGTGTGCATGCACGAGCACCTCCCACTGACTTAACAGATGTTCCAGGACCTCATTAAGACTCCGCACTTTTCTGAATTTGATCCTAGAACACTCTGTACACCTAAGATACTTTGCATACTGAAACATTTTAACCTCCCTAAAAGCACGGAACATAAACTCTATCCATCTTCAGAAACGTTTTAAGTGGTTTACAAGTATTGTCCAAAAAATGCTATATAGACTATACAATGAAACTGCAGGACAAATTTAACCTTTGTTTATTATCAAAGACTTGCTGAGATAATGTGAAGCCAAACTAGCCAGTCTTTCCACTGCTCTAAGTCAACAGCCTTTCAAAATTTGCCAGCTTTGATGGTGCCAATGAAAGACTGTCAATCTCTTGAATTTATTTGCCTGCTTTATGAATTTTAAGTCTATATAAGCTATGTCAATCATCATCAATCATACATAAAATTTTTGCATATGTTTCAATTCGCATGTTGATAGCACAAACAAAACTTTAGAATGTAAGGGACCAATTAAAAGATAAGCCGATTCCAAGAAAATGATCAAAAGTCCAGATCAGTTTCACTATTTGAATGCAAAGCACAGAAATCAAAACAACCAGAACATCTGTTGCTGAGTATGGTGATGCTTTACTCCCCTCCATCAGGTATTTATACACATTCGTAAGATCTCCTCAAGCCTTCTCTCCACTCCTCCAGGATAAACAGTCCCAGCTCTTTCAGCTTCTTCTCGTATGAGAGGTGCTCCAAGGCCTTAATTATTTTCATGGCTCTGCGCTGGACCTGCTCCAGTATGAGCATGTCCTCGTCCTACAAACCCCAGAGGTGGACCCAGTTGTGGACCCATAACTGGATCCACTGGCTTCATCCTCACTGGTGCTGAGCAGAGGGGAAGGATCAGCTCCCTCAACCTTCTGGCAATGCTCCTCCTAATACAGACCAGACACTTTCTTTGTCACAGAGGCACACTGCTGGCTCATGTTCCATTTTTTGTCCACCAGGACCTCCAGGTCCTTTTGTACAAAGCTGCTTTCCAGCCCCCAGTCTGTACTTACACACGAGGTTACTCCCTACCGGGTGCAGGACTTTGTATCTCCCTTTGTTGAATTTTATTGGGTTCCTGTTGGCCCATTTCTCCAGCCTGTCAAGGTCCCTTTGAATGGCAGTACAACCACCTGGTGTATCAGTCACTCTTCCCAGTTTAGTATATTCTGCAAACTTTCTGAGGGTATACTCTGTCCATCATCCAGGTCAGCAACGACTATGTTAAACAGTACTGGCTCCGTGTACCCCTGAGGTTACTACTAGTGATTGGTCTCTAGCTGGACCTCACGCCACTGATTACAACTCTTTGAGCACAACAGGTCAGCCAGTTTTCATTCCACCTCAAAAATCTAAATCTAAATCAGCACTGTTGAGGGAGGGCACAGTGACAGCACTTCATGGTCTAGTCTCAAAAGCTACGGGCAGATCAAATCCGACACATGCTGAAATATAGCCTCCATTATTCACCATAAAGGTCATCACCATCATTAAGTAGCTTCCCAGTGCCACAAGGACTGTCAAGGTCAAACGCAAAGGATGCAGGTGCCATCCAGGCAGAAAGTAGATGTCACTTCTTCAGAGGTTTCTCAGGAAGAAGAATTTGGAGGCCAAACAATACTTGGAGATAGCAACAGAACAAATCATTGGGTTTTCAGAACTGCAGGATTATTCCATATTTAGGAGAGTTTAATAGCTTTAATTATCTCAACAAGCTACTGATTACTGTCATTACCAGTTACCATATTGGCCCCTTTATTGATAATGGCAGTCA